CTACAGGACGTAGATCCACTGCTTCTATCCCCACGTGTAAAGGGCAGGCCTACACCATCTCTACGAGATGCAGATCCACTGCTACTACCCCCGTGTGTATAGCAGAGGGCTGGACCGTCTCTACAGGACGTAGATCCACTACCAATACCCCTGTGTGCGGGGGAGACCTACACCGTCTCTACAGAACCCAGATCTACTGCCACTAGCTTGTGAGGCTTCAATGAACTTATACGCCATAGAGCTTAGCTATAAACAAGGGTATATATCTCTGTCCTAATGCAGTTACGTTCAGATGGGAGTATAGACAAACCAGTGTATAATGGTCAGGTCATCCAAGGGAAATGCCAAAACTGTCTCTAATAGACAGCTATCCATCCTGTTGAAGTTTTTGCTAACACACACAGGATGACTCGTTGTACACATTACGGTGGCTGGACATTGGCACCAAGCAGATATAAGCAAACAACGGTACAGGGCAGATACGCAAATGCTGGTGTGGCTCAGATCGACGAACACATTCTAATTACCTGGCTTTGGAGGTAATTTCGGCTTTGCGAGTTTCTTTTTCTCCTGTTCGGACAATTTCTCCTCGAAATCTCGCCACCTACACAACGGAAAATGATGAGAACTGTCAAGAGAGTTACGGAAGATTCCTGTTTGCATTAGTTTTTAAACCATCTCAAAGTGTAATGCGCACCCACGAGTGAAATAAATAATAATCACTCACACACGCACGTACGCGCACACTCTCGCACGCACACACGCGCACACTCATGCACCCACGTACGCGCACACTCACGCACGCACGCGCACACTCATGCACCCACGTACGCGCACACTCATGCACGCACAGTCACGCAGCCACGCGCACACTCACGCACCCACGTACGTGCACACTCATGCACGCACAGTCACGCAGCCACGCGCACACTCACGCACCCACGTACGCGCACACTCACGCACACACAGTCACGCACGCACGCGCACTCACGCACCCACATACGCGCACACTCACGCACGCACAGTCACGCACGCTCACACACCCACGCACACGCACACTCATGCACCCACGTAAGCGCACACTCATGCACCCACGTACGCG